AGAAATGGTTGAGAATCAAGTAATTTTGGTCTTTAGTAATTTCAGGTCTTTAGACTGATGTAGGAAATATTACAGTGGGGTATTTAGAAGAGATATTTTGGATATATGAACTCATACTGTCTTCCAACCCCAGCAACTACCCTAAGAAATTTGAAAGAACACAACAGATTTGCAAGATTGTGCTCAATGTTAAATCTCCACTGATACTGTTTGAAGATAACTGGCTTTATTTTGCATTGAAATGGATCCGAAGCATACTGCCAGGATACTGATTTAGCCCAGATCTGTTTCTCTGCTCTTTGCAGGAGTTGTGGTCAATGGGCAGCTCATTGGAGCCAAGAAGCCTGAGAATAAGAAACTTAGTACCTACTTTGGCAAAATTGGGTTTTATTTCAAAAACAAAGGGTTAAAAGTGGAGATCAGCACGGAAACAATAACACTGAAAGATGGATCTTACAGCATCACGCTGAGCTGGTCAGATACAGGACACATCATTCGGAAACAGTAAGTTGTGGAGCATTCGTTGTTTGACATACGGAAACTGTTTGGAACCAAGCATTGGGCTTATCCAGGTTTGGGTGGGATCTAGGTCCCCGTGTGCCTACATGTGGGCATGGGCATCTCAGCGAGATGTCTGAGCTTTTGTTATAGTTAATGGGGATTAGGTGATAGAGCCAAGAGAGGGATTAGGTTGATCAAACGCAAGTAAGAAGAGCTGACTTCCTCTCCTGTGGCTGACTGTATTAACCAAGGCCAGGATCAGTTGCCTGAACATGAGTGCGTAATGCTCTTTGAGATACCATAACGGTTCCTCGTATCCACAGCAGCTATGAGACATGACTCACAGTGTTCAGGAGACCTTCACCTGCAGATTAATGGCTAGCAACCAAGATGGACACCCTACAGCGCTAGACACCTGTTTTGGCAAAGGAATCACTTCCAAAATCTCCACTAACTGAAAGAGGATCTTAGACCTGTAGGGCAGGCTTTGCTTGCCTGAGCATGGACGTCCTATTAACACTGTCCTGCCAGGCTACTAGGTACCACTACCAAGGCCACACTTTTGGTGGATCTTCTCTCATATCTGCCAGTTCTGTGTGTGTGTCCTGGGTGTCCCAGAACATCTCAAGGGAGCATCTCAAGCTTAGGTGTGGGCAGCTGAACTGAGTTCTTGCTTTTGTTCTGTGCCCCTGCTAGGCTTCTCATATCTGTGAAGAAAGAAAGAAATGTTACTATCACTGTGGGTGAGGAAATGTCCTTCATGGTTTTGTTGCACCGTGTTTGGAAGAAGCATCCTGTTCATGTTGACTTCTTGGGAATCTACATTCCCCCTGAAAACCATCTCTCCTCGGCAGCACATGGGCTGATTGGTAAGAGCTGGGCATGGGTGATGAGTGGAGAGGGACCCCTGAAAAGGTTTTGGTGGATCTTTGAGTGAATTGACTGATCTCTGCATCCAGAATGGGAAAATGTCCTATGGACATTGCAGAACATGGCTGCACCCAAGCTCATCAGCTGGATCTCCATCCTTGCCCCAGTCTGCCTTTGGAAACATTAATCCCAGCATAGCTTGAAGCTTACTTGCTTCCTTCTGCTTAAACAAAGTGGAAGGACCACTAAGCCACACTGGCATGGCTGATACCTCAAGAAAAGGTAACAGCCCTAGTTCTCCAAACTTCTGGCATCCAAAAGAAATCGTGCATAGACCAGATCATTCCCGAGTCCCACGCTTGGAAAGGGGCCTGCCTAGCCTTAGCAACATCATGACCCACACAGCTCTCCTTCAAAGATGCTGGAATCCTGCCAGCTGCAGAGAGGCTGTTTGCCCCAATATTCTTTGCAGCTCCATTCAGCTTAAGTAGCTGACTCAAAAGTAGAGTCTCTCCAGAATACTCTCCACACAGGCGATCCTACAGTGCTGGAGGTGTGATGTCCCTTGATCCACGCAGGATCCGTTGCCTTCAGGAACTAGTTTAATTTTGCAAACGTGCCAGGCAGCAGCTTGCACTAGAACCACCAAGGTTCTAAACTGCAAAGAGCTTTAAACCTCTCTTTGAACAGGTCAGTTTGTGTCCGAACCTGACGTGTACATCCACAACCAAAGACCTGGGCTAACTCCGGAGAAACCACAGGCCACCATGGAAGTGAAAGGAAACAAGTTCACTGTTACCAGGTAGCATTTGTGTTCAGAAGACAACATGGCCAAGGATGATCTGCATAATTGCTTTATTTCTGAACCAAATTAATACATTTTTAATAACTTCAATTACTCTAGGTCTACTAACTCTCAAAGATCTCAGGAAAGTATTTCCTGTGTTAATAAATGATGTGTTTTTAGCTGTTGGCAGTGTACACCACATGGGACTGTAAGGCACGTTGGGTTCTTGTGTATTTGTGACTCACTCATGCTCAGGACTTGGGTACAAGTTGAAACACAGGCAGTTCCACCTCCATATGAGGAAGAACTTCCTTGGTGTGAGGGTGCCAGAGCCCTGGCACAGGCTGCCCAGAGAGGCTGTGGAGTCTCCTTCTCTGGAGATCTCCAACCCGCCTGGATGCCACCCTGTGCCCCGTGCTCTGGGTGTCCCTGCTGGAGCAGGGGGTTGGACTGGGTGATCTCTAGAGGTCCCTTCCAACCTCAGCCATTCTGGGATTCTATGACATGACCTGTTCGCTTTACAGATAGGCTGTATTAACCCCATTCCCTACATTTGTCCCAGGAGTGCCTGGGACCTCCACGAAACACGTGTCACAGCAATGTAGTTTGCTGCATTTTGTGGAGGTCTCCACTGCGTGACTCACATCTCACCATGTTTGCAAAGCAGAGGAGTAGGATTCTTGATGCATTTTTGCCTATTTGCCAAGCCCTGACCCTCATTTTCGGGTGTTTTTTCCCTCACAGCGGACTGCAGAAGGACTACAGGACAGACCGCGTGTTTGGGACAGACGTGCAGTGCTGGTTTGTGCACAACAGCGGGAAAGGTTTCATAGACGGCCACTACAAAGATTACCTTGTCCCCCACCTGTACAGTTTTCTGAAGAAACCCTGAAGGCTCAAACATTAAACAGTTTATTACACAAAAATAATCCCCTTTTAGCCCTTCATGCCAAAAAACACTATTTCAAAAACTATCTTCAGCCTAACAAGCCAGATCAACCAACAGTGACTTCACAACCATCTGCTTTATAAGTGATTAGTGTTTCCAATAATGTAACTCCCTTATCTGTTTAAAAAAAGAATAAAAATTCTGTAATAAAGTAACATCCTGGATTGCAGTAGATATCCTGTACTTACCATGTCTGCTTTAGTGGATATTGTTCTCCATTAAAATTTTCAAATATTTTATAATATACATTTCTTAGTATACTTATAAAAGTGTTGCAGCTGCTGGACTGTGAATGACATGTATGACTAATTTAATACCTTCACCTCTTCAGAATGGGAAAATACGAGTTAATTCACTACAGTGTAACAGATTTTATACCACAGCTAGGAGGACGTGCACTAGATGCAAGGGAAATCTAATAGAAAAAAAGAGCATGGCAGGAGAAGAACCCTGGCGTAGGTATCATGATAAAGACATGCAGTCTCCAGTAATGACAGGTTTTTAAGGATGATTTTTAAACTGCTGTGAGAAATGACCTTGAGATAGCTGATACAGCCATATCACAGCAAGATGAGCCTTAGACTTCCTTCAGCCTATTTTTTTTTTTCTGAGAAAATTTCAGTGGTGCTATTTTCCTGCAGTTGACACCCAGGCGTCAATCTGGGAAAGCAGGAGAAAGAGCCCAGAATTCAGGCTACATCGAAATCAGCTCTGGGATTAGCTATCCACAGAGATCTTGAGGAGTATCCTGCAATGACTGGGATCAGTACTGAAATGAACACGCACATGTATGTACCTAGATCCAAATTTAAAGATCTGCTTTCAGTCAACCTTAGAAGAAAACATTGGCCAGGTTCTTCTCAGCAGCCTTAATCTAAGATGGGAACTCGAGTCATCTACTTGCCCTTCTGAACTTCAGCTTCCTTCACCTATGAATTGGAGACTACTCCATGATCTTTCCATGATCTTTCCTGCAGACATAGTGGCAGGACAGAGAGGATTAACATGTATTAAGTATCTTTCCAAAGTAATTCTCTGAAGTGCTTGTGATTTCCCTGCAAGCTATTCATTGTTTCTTTGAATGCATTTATGTCTTTGGCCTCCGCAAAATCCTGTAGGAACAAATCCAAACGTTTAACAAGCCCCTGTGTGCATGGTGGGGGGAAGGAACAACTTGCAAGGTTTGCTTTTAAATCCCCTCCTCAGTAATTTCACTGTCTGCTTCCCAGCTCACATGCGAAAGCCAACAGTGAAGAATCATTCTTGATTCATTGCCACACATGATATAACTGCACGTCTTTATTGCAGTCCTTATTTCAGACTGCAGAGTTAAGTCTAATTATTTTCACTCATTACAGGAGCTGTTCTGTAATTTCATTTATCCTTATTACTCTCCTGTAACCTCTTCTTGCTCTGTACCTGTTCTTTGAAGAGAGGCAGACGGCTGCAGGCACAACCAGAATGCATAGACAAGAGTCTTCCTTTCTGTCCCCAGCTCATTTCCTCATATTCTCCATTTTAGATACTGCTTTACTGTGACTTGCATTTATTGTGCGAGTCCCCATAAAGCCACATGATGTGCTGTGTAAGGTCATTACAGGTGATTACAGAAAGCAGTCTTTGAATTTTCCTGCAGGGGTCCCCTGGAAATCACGAATCAAGAGGAAAATGACCCTCGGAGGCAGGGGAAGGGACACGGAACAGCGACTTGGCCTCTAGCTGCCCTGAACTTTCAGTTGCAACATCACCCATGTACACCTCGCAATGGCATCTCGCCCATCCAACCTTCAGCCCATGAAGGAAGAGGCTGAGCCCCGCTCCTGAGATAAAAACAAGCCTTTCAGAAGGATTTTCTTCAACCACAGAAAACTACCATGCTAGCAGGGAAGTCCAAGCATTACCCTTCCCATCAGAACCCCGTCGTCACCTTCCCCAGCTTCCTAGGGCTCAGTCTCTCCCAAAGGCACTCATGGCAGAAACCTGGGATCAGCTTTCAGATACCCACACAGATGAACCAGAGATAGGCTGGACCATAAGACGTTCGTTTGTGTTTTGTCTGGGATGACTTAACACCTTTCTGTAACATGGATAAGCAGAGCTGGACACTTCTTTACAGTGCTCTTTGGTGGACAGAAACGAACAGAGCTCTAGCCCACCTTTTCAGAGGCTGATAAGGAGAACATTGGCCTGGGAGAGGTTTTTGTTTATTCTTGAACTGCTTTAAAAATAAAAAAGTACAAAATCTCACTTTTTTTCAATAAGTAAAAAAAGTAACGTTACTCATTTAGTATCGTAGCAGAGCAGGGAAACAACAGAAATGTGAACAAAGGAAAAGACTCTGGAAAGTCAAAGACAGCAATCACCAGTTTCATATCTGCACAGTCAGGTTGGCATCTTAGAACCCCCCAACTTGGAGGCCACATGCAGGTGAGTTACATATTGGTATTATTAGGAAGCCTGACCACAAGATCAGAGGCTGATGGAGAGGACTCATTAAATGGATTCTGCTACAGCTCATGTGCTAACTAAAAATAAAGCAGGTGATAGCACTTAACAAACCAGTCCATTCACACGAAATCAAAAAAAAAAAAAAAAAAAATCCCCTGCAGTGCTGTTACCTTCCTGCTATTCTCTTAATCCCTTCCCTTGTTCCTACAGCCAAAACTCAACTTTGGCCACAGACTGAAAAATGTGTTGTTTAGAACTCCACTGGCTCCAACACACTCTGCCTGCCTCAAGGAGCTGTTTGTAGGTCATTCTCCTTTTTTAAAGATTTCTAACGTAGTTACTAAATAAAATACTCCAGCTTACAGCTATCTGCTACATTTTACAAAAGGAAGTTTAATCAAATACTCTAGCATAAGTTTGATATAGAATCAGATCAAATACTTCCACTGATAAGATTTCCACAAATATTTTATATAGCAATTTATAGTGGTCTTTAAATAAATCCATTTTGTTTGTGATTAATTTCTATATACATTATAAATACACATACATACACTTAAAACCCTGACATGGTAGAGTCTTGTGTCTGCCTGCAGGATGCCAGAATGTTGTTCTGGGGGAACCAAATCATCCCTCATCCACAATTAGCACCTCAGGCGAGTTTGGAAATGTCTTCATACAGGATACCTTCTACTCGGCGACCTTTTAAGGGTCCCTGCAGAAGAATGTAATGCAAGAAATGAGTTCAAAATACAAACTTTTTTGTTAAATTTTCTAATAGACATCTTAAAATAACATAGCTAAGTGGGCCGTACCAAATCTCTCTGCACTTAGACATTTTTCAGGGAGTGCAACTAAAGTGATCAGTAATGGAAGCAACATGCCTATGTATCAAAAACACTGACAATTGTACCCAGTGCTGTGTACAGTAAAAAACAAATGACTGCCTTTCTGTTTAACACTGCTGTCCAAAATGCACACATAACTGCACGCTGGCTGCTGTACGGGTGATGCATAGCAAAAAGCATTCAAAATATTGCAGGTTTAGCATGTGTTCATGACACAGTGATTGCTAATTCATTATTGGCAACCTGCTTGGAGAAAGCGACAGAGCCTCGCCACTGCCCTGGAAATCCTTCTACTTTCAGGACACTTCTTGTGTTATTTAAAGTCTTTGAAATCTGGGGGCAAACATAAGCAGCTCTTCTGAATTGTTTCACTGTGATCTGCACAAACTAGATCTTGCAGTGTTTAATACTTACAGAATCAATAGTGATAGTGGCTGAAAAGGTCTTTTCATTGATAGATTCCAAGATGCCTTCATTTCCTCTGTAACCACCATTTAATACCAAAACTTTCTTGCCTGAAAGGACAAACAAGAAAGCAATCACACGACAGGGCTCCCATTTTCCTCTGGTGGAATTGTGTTTGCTGAGAGCTCAGGCAGAGAAGGTTTCTCCTAGAGACTCTCCATGCAACACTCAGCGGGTCCCTATGGCCTGCCCGTCTCCAAAGGGCATCCAAGTTTATTGCTCCAGGCTACACTGACATAACAGGCAGAAGTCACTGAATCTGCATGAGGGAAAGCAGCCAAAGGCAGTTCTCTCTCATTCTCTGTAAGGTAAACTCTGCCAAGCATCCCCAGCTATTTAGGGATGGCTTTGGAGTGAAGATACAGGATAAATATGGTCACGAGCTCTATAGGGCTCCCAGAGACACTGACAGATGAAGAGAACTTTCCTCTAGTCAAAGTGATTCATAGAGCACATATATATTGTTAAAAGACAGAGTAATTCACGTGTGAAGAGACTGTGAGGACTCGAAGCAGATGCAATGCAACATTTCCCCAGAAAGCAACAGAAAGTACTTGGTAAATGACACAGCATCTTATGAAATACTGTCCCAAGAACAGATGAAGCAAGATGGCCATCACTAGGGTAATTTCAAATAGATGAATTGTGGTTTTAAAGAACAAAAATGTAAGTTTTAATGTGACAGGTAAGCTGGAAAACAAACAAAATGAAACACCTGTACCTGGTGCTGGTATTACAGTCTCCAGGTGCGTCTGATCAAGCTTCAGTTTGTCTCCAGAATCAATCATCTTCACAACTGCTGTATATTTGTCAATGACTTCCTGTTAAGGAAGATACAGGTTAACCAGCGATTATTACCCTTATGCTTTTTATCTAAATTTTCATTTTCAAAATTAACAGTTTCAGGTCCATCAGACTGCACTTCCACATTTACAAAAGGAAGCAGCACTTCTGAGCCATCCTAAAAGCAGTCAGTTTGCACAAACTGCTGACCAGCCCCATTCTGAAATTAAGGCTAGACTAAAAAGGCTCATCTTGAGCATCGGTTGGTCTCCCTTGTAATGTAAGGCCATTGATTTTGTCATCGTAATTCAGATCAGCTACCTCACCTATAATCTTAAGGAAAAAAAGGATAAACCAGAGTATTCTTGCCTTTGTGGCAGCTGAGCTGACTGGAAGCCAGACATTCAGGGAGAAGTGGGATACTGCCTCTCAAAGAAGCATAAGGACATAGATCATCTTTGTGTCCAGCATAAACCACAGTCAATCTCTCACATTCAAAGCTCAGTAGAAGACTGCAGCTGGCACTCGTAAACCTGCCTACCAGAAAAACTCCAGCTCTAAACCCTGTTAGGACCATTCAGAATGTACCTGTGTGCCATCCCTGGCACTCCGGCCTGAGACTGTTGAGCCTTGGGACTGCCTAGTACAAAGTCATTTCACTGGCAGGGGCTAAAAGGAAGCTCTTCAGAACAGCACAGCAAAGCTTACAGACTGAAGAGTTTGTACATAAATGGGATCTTCTTCAAAGACATCTTGCAATTCAAACATCACTGAAAAACTGGCTAGTCTCAGATTAAAACACAACTGCATTGCTCTTTGTTACATTGCATAAACAAAAACTGTTCTCCAAGATGGATGCTGTAATAAGGACAAACCATGCAGGATAAAAACAGTGTTTTAGAAAGGATCACTGAGCAAATGCCATTAAACCTATTCAGAGATTCACTCCCTGCTCAGAACTAGCCCCAATAACGTTAAGGTGGAGTTTCAGCCCCTATTAGTTTTGGTTAAAGGCTGAACAACTTGCAAAAAGAAACAGGAAACTTCCAAAGTCATTTCACACCTGGAAAGCCTAACCAACCCCACAACTTCCAACCCCACATGCGTTGCCAGATAATTTACCTTAACGACTGCCTTCTTCTTGTGGTACTTCTCTCCAAGCTTTTTTGTTACAATTTTTACGATGATTTCCTGAAGAGAGATTAAAAAAAAAAGAGATGAAAATGGCAAGATATACAAATAAGTGCACAATTTAAACTGGTTGATCTTTACCCCCACCACAGACAGTGATGCTGTACAACACAGCACAGGAGAAACAGCAGTAAAAATCGGCATTTAGGAACATGCTCTATATGCTCAGACTACTGCCTCAGGGTATTATCTCTCAGTTTTTAATTAGTTCTCCAAACACATTTACATCTATCCAAGGTGTAACATGACAGACCATGAGGAGTCAAGAGCAGGATTTCTGAATGTAAAAGTCCAGTCAAGAAATAGAAGCTTAGACAAGGTCTCTTGGCTCAAAGGGTGATGCTGACTTCTACATCTCTGTGTGAGTCAAGTACCAGTGTACGGAAAAAGGGGCTTTAAGTAGGGTCATAATTTAAAGGTGATCTGTAGGAACGCAAATTACGATTTGTTTAAACACAAAATTCTAACTGATCTGAAATTGAGCACATGACACTTCAGACCACAGATCATGCCCAGCCAGGAAGAGCGATATTACCAGATATGGTAATATTTCACATTTGGCAGCTTGGAAAATAAGAGTGCATTTAAATAGGAATTTGCTTTTGGAACTATACCTGCTTCAAACCAAGAGCAGCTTTAGAGATGCAGAACTTGGTTGAATTTGGTATAATAACCACTTTTAAGACACTTACAGGCTGTAACCAGTAGTCTGTTCGAGCTGTCCTTTTCTTCTCTTCTTCAAGCTACAGATTACAATAACAAATAATCATTATATATTTCCTCTTACTACTGCAGCTTTCCCATCCCTTCAAAAATGTGAACAAATACTCCATAGTCACATCAAGGGGGGAAAACAAAATAAAACAAAACCAAAACTAAAGCAGGCAAGATCACTGCGTTTGCGGCATAAAATCAATCTGACAAGATCCAGAAATCCATGATAAAACAAAGGAAACTTAACTTTGTTTTGGTCAAATGTATCTATATACTTCCTTTTGCTGTGAAACCTGTATTCCTTTGCTTCCCACATTTTGACCATCCTACGAATAGGTATATTTGAACAGCAGAAACCAGTTTTAAAGGGGAAGTCATATCACTTTGTGTGATAAGATGTGAAAGTCTGAAGTGAAGGTCTACTTCAGAGGGAGGCCTTGTGGACTCACTGCCATAGGTGTTCCGTCATAATGACACAGATCCTTCCACGTATTTTACCTCCATAATCTCATCCAGTGCGGATTTCTTCTTTTTCTCTTTGGACTGACCAGAGCTATGAGAAGATTCCTTTCTTTTAACTGCCCCTTCCACTGTCTTCAGTGCATTTGGTCCAAGGACACTGCTGGAAGAGTAAGATGGTGTTTTCACAGCAGATCTTAAACTGTCTCTTCTACCAAGATGCATGTGGGAGGACTGGTTGTGAAAAAAAAGAACTGCTGATCTCTAGGGTTTCAGTTGTACAAGTCACCTTCCACACCCTGCATGTCTCCTCCTTTAGGACTGCACTTGTCAGCTAGAACTGATCTCCTCGAGGTGTAAATTCCACTTTCTCTGATGCTTGCAGTCCAGGTGAATGAAAACAACCTAATGGTCAAATCACCAGCCCAAAACCAGAGAGTTAATCAAGAGATTGAGTTAAATGGAAAAGACAAATAAGATTTTCAATTCTGGAAGGACAAATTCATGATATTAGTGAAGCTACCTGGACTGAGCAGTTCTCAAACAAGGCAGAAGTCTATAATTCCTGGCAGTCAGAGGTATAGAACCTATGGGGCACAGAAAGAGAAGGGAAGGGAATCTGTAGAAGGGGGCTCCATACCCTGCAAATATACATCACCTTCACCACGGCACTCAAAATATACAGTCTCCAAGATACAAAAGAAAGGTCTATCAGCACAAAAAAGGGTGACATCTCAAGGCTCAGAACACTGGGCACTGGGACAAAGAATGGGAGACTGCCAGCACAGTTCAGGTGTATCATTAGTACGGAGGACACAAGAAAGAACGGAACACAAGAAAGAACTGGTTTATCTTGAACTATATATTTTTCAAAAAGACAAAATTCAGCAGTACATCAGGCAAGCTCACACTTGGGACGCATTTACCCTATTAGCTTTTATCTTCTGGTAGTTCATCAGTGTTTAAGGACAACAAAAGCAGAAAAGGATCTGGCCATACTCAGTGCTGAGAGCTGCCACTGCGAACCAGGCAAGAAAGAGTCAATACAATCCTTGCAGGCATCTATACAGACAATATTAGTGCCTTGTATAAGCTGTGGTGAGATCTCATTTGCAGGGTGCACATCTCTGATCTGCTCCCCCGTTCAAGAAACATTAGCTGAAGCTGGAACAAGGGCAAGGAAGGGGCTATTCAGCTGATAAGGGGAGTGGGGAAATGAGGCGAGCACAGTGCAGGCCGGTTTCCACAGCACAATGATGGTTAAGAGGATATAACTGTTCTCTATAAATACATCATCTGAGAAAGCAAACACCAGAGAGAAACAAAACAATCACTTATGTTAAAGGCCCATACCAACACTGGGTCACCAAGTTCCTTGCAGCAGCCCTGCTAAGTAATCTATGCAGTGATTTGGAGATGTAAATTATTGATAAAAACGAGCTAAGCCCAGCTTGCTCAAGTGTAATCAGCAAAGGACAGAGACCCACAGCGGCTGCGGTGGCTCCTATCTCTGTTCGATCCACACCGATGTTCAAGGGTAGGAACATCTCCATACCCTGCCCTCTTCTCAGCAAGGCTCCAACTCCTTCTTATGCCCAACCAGCAGCATCCCCTTCCACCATCCACAACTTCTGATCTCTTGGCCCTGTTTCTGATCAGGAAACAGGTGGGAAGCCAAGAAATTCGGCTGTGCCCCACACTAATACTGGGCATCAGGTTGACCTCAGCTGATCAGCAATAACAGCCAAGTATCTCGCAGCTGCAGAACACACCCTTACACTGACACAGGGAAGAAGTTTCCATAGACAACTCTGAAGTGATTCCTGTATCACCAAGGACACGCGAAGCACAGTCTGGTCACCATACTGTGCATTTCATGTCCTAATTCTGCTTCTACATCACCACTGCAAAATTTACAGACTACTGCCCCTCAGAATTTAGATGATTGATATAAGATTTTCAGTTTAGCCAAATTTTGTAAAGCAGCTTAAAAACAGATTCAAGTATTTCTCTATGAGAGAAACTATTCAGGTGAGTGTCTGCATTAAATTTCAGCCTCATCTTGAGTACAATTCAACACTTTGGGATAATTTACAAGTATTCCTCAAAGCCTGAAATCTCTATCTGTTATTGCAAAGAACTAGTTTATTGTCTCATTCTCTGCCTGGCATATCTCCCATCAGATATCTTATCTAAGAGCTGAGCTTGTGATGAGAGGTAATCTCTCTTTTTACCTATAATACATTTAATTTCAGTATTGCTTCACAAGAAAAGATGTACTGCTCATCAAACAGCTTCAGACTGCTATAACTCCACATTGCATACATTATCAATCCCTTTTGTCCCACATTATGTTTGTACCATGTTATATGATGACAATTAAACTCGGGAACTTCACAAAGACTTCCATCAGGTTGATTCAACTTCTTAAATGCTCATCAGAGAAAATATTACCTCCAATTAGACAATGCAGTCAAACCTTTTAAAAACTGAAATTACGAAGTCATGAAGGTTATTTGGACTACATGGCATTCATCTTTGATTAGATCCCTTATCTACCCTTTCACATACAAGTATCTTCTCAGAGAAACCTAGAGCTGCCTACGGCTGCACAGGAATCTGCAATGAATCTTGCTGAATTTAAGAGGGCTCCTCACAGCAACATGAAAGATACAACCCATTATCAATTTTAAACATAAACGAAAATATGAAATCATCTAATATTCATTTCTGAGTAACAGTACAGGCTGAGGCATTAGACCACAGATTTTGCAAGACAAGGTAGATCTTCCTGCCCATCTAAATAGTAGTCATACAAACACTTTACCACAGTAGAGATTGCCCTTAAATTCTTTTCTCACCTTGTTTTAGAAGATGCTGCTATTGAAGTACTCGCTCCTTTGTTTAAATTAAATGCAACTAAAAAATAAAAAGACATTACTCTATTTCTGTTTTAAATAAAACTGCATTGAAGGTTATAATTTTAAAAACCTGTAAATGGAGGTCACAAATTTGAAAATATTTGCTATATATTACTTTGGTTCAGCTTTTAAAATAATGTTCTTAAAAAAAGAAAAGGAGAATTCTTTTCATCTCCACATTTCCAGTGCTCTTCATAACTGATACCAAAGCACTTTATGAAGTATTGAGCAAACCTCTGCACTCATCTCCTGTTTTGATCATAAAATAAGCTCTAGTAGGTTAAAGAGAATTACATATATCAAAATCTGGTTACCTTTTTCTTCTTCACTTTCCCTGTTTAGCTCAGTATAGACTGGTGCTTCCTGCCAAAAGAACAGAAATGACATTTCAAGAGTCAAACAGACAACTGAGACACGATACAGTTTTTGGTGATCATTGATTAGCTCAGTTTCAGATGCTACTGCAAGATTATTTAGTAGCTGTAATATTCACCCTGGCCTGATCCATTAAGGAGATTATGATCTGAAAATACCATTTCATTACAAGTCCCTGTGCAAAATCGTCTAATTAACACCCTCTACAGAGATGCTGTCTAAACTTGCCTGATTCCAGAATGAAGAGAAAGTTGCCTTAATGTAATAGTTTTCTCTTTTTGGAACAGCATGGTTAGACTGGTTTTTGGACTGTCTGATAAACAAAAGAAGGAAAATCCTAAAATCTTTCCAAGTTTTTAGCACTGAAGGCTCAGACCATTTAAATTTCAATTAGTTTTAAATTAAGAAGAAGATAAATGTTTAGAACAGCATTTAAATGCACCTATCAATACCTGGGATCAAATGGGAGGTTTCAAATCCAGGCAACAACATGTTATGGAGTCATGGAATGATGCCAAAGAAATAGCTCCTCAACACCAGCCCAGGACTACCAAAATGAGACTTTTTACCATGAGAATTTGCTTAGCTCAGCCCACCTAGTCATCTTGGTCTCCCCACTGCACAAGATACTTGTTATCTGCAACACTAGAAGTTAGGGAAGTACCATACACTAAGAGACATGATGCTAGCTGCTGTATCGCTTGTTGTCTCCTCTTGAACCCAACAGAGATGTTTACATCACTAATCACTTAAGTAGCAGTAATTCTTTATTGATAACTAAAGCAAGCCAGGTACAAAGCAATTTCAAGTTTTTATCCAGAGCAGGTTACAATAAACATAAATGTTTAAAAGAAAAATCAGAATATGAGTTAATATGGCAATTCAAGTAAGGGAGAAGATAGACTATTTAAATCAAAATCTAAAATGGCCAAGATGGCACAACAGGGACACACTGTACAATTCCAGTACACATCACATCTAAAAGGAGCTGAAACTTCTGTTTCTGCCTTTTTAGAACTGTGATTCCATAGAGGCCCGAAATGTTCATCAGCTCTAACTGAGGGATTATGATGATGATGATGATGATGTAACAAACTGTAATTTCAACCAAAACCAGGTAGTCACGGCTGCTCTCTTGAGGCTACAGAAGTCTCAGAGAAGAATACTCATCAGTGCAGCCAAAGCCCATCAGTCAGAACTGGTGACCAGCTTGTAATCTGAAGCACGAAGATTGTTCTTCACCTTCTAATTGACATGGAAATACCACTGAAAGGATCCTAGTATCATCAAATTCAGCAGTAAGTTAACCAAGTGGATTGATAAATAGTGTAACTTTCCTCACCAGTTCCTTGCCCTCCAAACCTCTTCTAACTTGTTTTTCAATGAATTTAGCAGTTTTTTCTTCATCATCAAGGTCTTGTTTCTTCTTCCTCTCTAGTTCTTGCTGCCTGCGGATAGTCTCTGGATCCCTATCAGTATACTGGATATACCAGCCCTTTGGAGTCTCATCAACCTTACAAAGACCTAGAAAGTCAACATAAATTTAAGTCACCAACTAAAGCCAATCCACGATTAAATAAGATTAGCAAACATTAGCAAAGACAAGCAAGGAACAAATAAATTATCACTGTGTTTATTAAAAGAATGAAAATACATTGGTTCTGCTAAGGTATCTCTTATGGCTTGGTAAAGCCGATTTTGACCTAACTTAAGCATGTTTCTGCTCTTCAGCCATCCATTTCAAAAAGGCCAGAGTGCATAATCAATTGGAGTGTTTTAGCACTCCATCTTTATTGAAGAAAACCTCTCCTTTCCAGTACTTCAGCAAGCAATAAAAGAGAAATCTAAAGAAAATTAACTATATATATATAAAACAACATTATGTTAAAGAAAACTTTAGTATGCTGATGAGTACTAACACTCATTAGAAGGAAATAGGAAACAGGAGGATTAACAAAACTTTTGCAGAATTATTATCAGCAATGCAATTATTCAGTAATTTTAAAACTTCCCCACCCTAAATAACTCTATTTACCTTCTCTACCCAACCATTTGGTAAAATCAGTCAGTGTCTCCCACTGTGTAGCATTCATGTGGATGTGTTCTCGATGACTGATATATTCATTGTACACAATATTATTATGGACTCTCTTCGTTCCTGAAATTCAAAATAATAAATAAATACAAGTATACGATCCAGAAGAAGCCAACTCAAACGTCTCACACTGAACCCCAAAAAGACATTAAAAGCAAATAAATGAACAGTAAAATATTTACCAAATCGCCTCCTGAGCAATTCTAGGAAATCATTTCGGAATTCCCTTAGGAAGTAAAAAGAAATTATTTTAGCAAAATTGAACTAATTAAAAAACAATTTTCTATTGTCATCAAAAAAAAAAGAAACACCTTCAATATAGAGTATTCTTTTGAAGTGGATATTATGACATTCAGACATTCGGTTCTCTTTTCAGTAAGGTAACATTAAATGCAATACGCATGCAGAAAGGAACACAATATTGTACATGCACATACAAGTTTTATCTTCAAAAGGATCATACCCTTTCAAAAGGGTAAAACATAAAGGATGAAATGGGAGCACTTCCCACTAATTACTGGTATTCATTACCAGGTAACTTCCAAGGTTGACTAACACAGACACAAAACACACAGAGTACAAAGGGAAAGGGTGGTAGATGGGGTAGACTGATCACTCATCTCACTGCAAATTCAATGGCTGCAGTATAAAGCCTCACTGTAGATTCCTGTTGAAGACAGCTCCAGTCAACCCAGCTATGGGGAGGTCATAGCTGGACAAAGGAATCGGGGAAAATGTGTGGGGTGCGAGCCATACTGCTCGTTATCTCTCTGTAATGGCTCTTTTAGCTCTTTTCAGCGACAAAAGAGGACAAAGAGCTAAAAAGGACACGCTCTGTGCACGTGTTGTTGTCAATTAGGTGAAGCAGAACTGTGATACCAGGGAAGATAGAGCAACTTAAAGTGATACTGTTAGGCATACGATTGAATTGTGTTTTAAGTATATATACATATATATATATATATATATATATCAGGCTCCCTGAAACTTTGTAGAAATTTTCAAAAGTGACATTCCTTAGCTTCTAAAGTAGCCATTAAAAAACAGCTATCACTAAAACCCATCTAAATAAAGTGCCTTCGATCAGACATGACTGGACATGACAGGTATGACTGCACGAATCTGACTGAAGAATGAAGACATGGGCGAGAATATCTAGGAAACTTACTCAGAGAAATAATTCAAGAATTGCTGAGGATTTTCAGAAGCCAGCAGCAATTGCCTCTGGTGGGACTCGGACATGCAATGACATTTGAAGCCATTCTATTACATAAAGGAAAAAAAGAAAAAAAAGTATGTTGTCTATCTTTATCCCAATTTGCAGAAGTCACAAAGCTGAAGAGCATAAATGTTTTACAAATTATATCTCTTAGAGGCTCCACAGAAGATGTCTAGCATTGGGCAGCTGTTCCTCCTAAGCAGGTAAGCCAGAGACAGGGCTTTTCATGAGGCCAAGACCCATCAGACAGGAAGACCTGAGAGGAGTTCCAAGACAGGACTCCGCAGCAGTCCTGTTGTTCCCTTATGGAATTGGGATAGACTCCAGGCTACCCAGGTGCATCCACATACTTAAAAAGCCCTGGAAATACCTGCTGGCTCCCTTCCTGAGCAACACTGATGACAACAGTGACAAGGAGACAATGTCCTCGGAGTGTTCAAACCATGGACTGCAATATAGTCTGGTCACCTCTGGCACCTCGTTAAAGTCATCAGAGCGCCCCACAAATCATCACCTAGACACAGAATGTTTGACCATATATTTTTTTTTCTTCCCAGTATAACACAATTTCATGAGAATACACTTTAATTTACAAAGGCTTTCTTTCTATGCAAAAGACTTGGTTGGGAAGCAGCGACACTTTTTTACCTGCAGTCTCTGGGAAAGGGATAGGATGTGAGCTTCTGGGATAAAAAAGAAAGCTGAAGAACAATATAATTAGTGTTTTACTTCTTTCTCTACAGCATGTTAAACAGGTAACAGGTAAACAGGACATTCACAGAGAAGAGAGATTTAAAAGCCCAGTTAGCCTGAAAGCGGGTACTTTAGGGGATACTTTCCACATCTCTGCTGGAAATAGGGAGAAACAAGACACCAACATCCCATGAGGGTCTGGACCCAAGTGGGAAGAGGGGTGAGAAGAAGAGGGGGCAGTTTGAGCAAGGAAAAAAAATCCCTGAAGTGCAGATCAGAGCCACTGCAACTGCCCCCCTGCAGGGAGGATCAAGGTCCCTGCCCCAGGGCTCCACGCAGGGGAGATCAGTCCCTCCGCAGAGAGATGAAGCTCCCCAAAAGAGGCTCCCGTGATCCCTCTTGGGGTGAGAGAAAATCAGGACCACATCCAAACGGGCTGATGAGGCAGATCGGAGTCTCCCATGCACCTCTAAATGTATCATCCCTTTTCCCCCACCTTTGGGCACCCTCTGGGATGATCAAGCCCCACTGAACGTCCCGCTAGGGCAGCTGGTTACCCATAAGGGTGACTGGATGCCCCCAGAGGGAACCAGGACCCCCCTGTGCTCCCCTCAAGGGGATCAGGATGCTCCCAAGCACTGCAGGTCCTGCAGGTGAGCTCGGAGCACCCCCTGGGCTCCTTCTAAAAGGAATCGGAGCCCCACACGGGGCCCCACACGGGACCCCTAAAAGGGTGAGTCAGATCCCTCATGTCTTCCAAGGGGATCAAAGACCCCTCAAGCGGACTGGATCCCCCTGTGTCCTCCCCAGGGGGACATGGGGCTCCCTTAAGAGAGCGGGATCCTCCAAAGGGGACCGGGGATCCTTGCGGGGGGTGGCGGAGCGCCCCGTACCCTTCCAAAGGCTCCCCCCACACACAAACACACACACTCAGGCCCAGCGGCGGAGCTCACCTCGTCGCGGCACTGCTTCTGGCACATCTGGCAGTACCAGCGCAGCTTCTGCAGCCCCTTGGACTTGATGCGGTTGGCGATGGCCTTAGGGCTCAGGAAATCCGACTTCCCCATGGTGGCGACGGCGACAACAACAGCGACAACGACAACA